CCAGCGCATGCATGCCATCTGAAACTTGTGTAAGCAAACGACGGTTTGAGGGCTCTGGGTGGTTTCAGGCATAGAGCTTCAGGCAAAAGCTGAAGTTGCTTCCTCCCGATGGGACTCCTTGGGGAACGCTAGCAGCCGTGCAGTGCCTATTCCATGCCGGGGTGAGTCGTCTCCCTGGTATAACTTGTCTGCTGGGTACATGGTGAAGCCCTCTGCACCTCCAGCGGTGAATCTAGCCTGAGCACGGGTAACTGGGCAACTCTTTGTGGTGGACATGAAATCTGGACCATCCATTTAAAAATAAAACCTGCTGAGTTCCTGAGCGAGTTAGAAATTATGTCTATAGACTGATCTGGGCCTATATTCATGTGTTTGTGAATTCGTATTGCTGCTGTCTTTACAGGTGCTCCCCTGATGAACCCATGGCCATCTTACATGTGCTTATCCTCCAAAGCTCATCCTGCTGGTCAGAAGAACTAGAGGAAAGCATTCAGGTTGGGGAACTTTTCTTTGTCATTGTTCTTAACACAGTAAATATTCCAAATGTATCCCCTTATACTAGCAATAAATATCAGTGTATCATGTATGGTACAAAGTACCAGGGAGTAATAGCAAATCTAATAGGTAATAGATCTCTGTATCTATCTCGGAGAGTTTCCATTTTCAAAATGGAAATGGCAGAACTTTATGTGATAAGCTAGAGTGATTTTCCTTAATCTGTAAGGAAGATAAAATTCCAGGAAACTTGCTTTTCAAGAGTAGCAAAATATTTTTAGGAGCATTTTTTTTTTTTAAAGTAAAGAATGCTTAGTGGCATTATTTAACATGGTACTAAGGGGAAGCTTGCAATTACTTGAGGACTCTCAGGTGGGATGACGAGATCTGCTGGACATGGCAGAAACACAGGTGGAGTTGTGTACAGTTCGGAATGGAGGATAATGGAGAATTTAAAGTGGAAGGGCAAGAAGAGAATAAATAAGAGGTCATCTACTTTTAGTAAAAAGAAATACGACTAGCAGCAAAGCTAACTGTAAAGAAAAGAAAATATATCTAAGTACATTAACAGACTTCTTGGAGTTTCTTCATTTTGTAAATATCCATTATGCTTTCCATCTTCAGCAGAGAAAGATCTGAAAAACAAAGTACATGATCCCCTGAATGACAGTACTGCTAAACCATAATGACAGCCTGGCTTGTACAAGCAAGAAATGAAGGGAGCGGAACTGCGACCATTTTCATTTTCTCTGAAGGAGATTAATCATGCCACCTGAAATATCAAAGATTAAAGCAATAACTTGTATAAAGGATTTATACAGTGCTCATCATGTGTAATAATGTAAACCAAACGAGCTAATCTATTACAGCACTGTAATCATTCCTACTAGTAACCCCGTACGAGGGGGAAAGCTTGCCACACGCTGCAGCCTGCAACTATTCGCCAGCTGGAAAATGCTTTTAGTCCAAAGCAGCAGCTTCCATCTCCTGTACAGGGAGCTGTGACAAACATACGAGAGACTTTGCGACATACATAGAAGAGCCTTCCTCTGCTTTATGAGCCATATAAAAATATGATTAAATGTGCTGTCCGCTAAATGGGAGCAGCATCGGGATTCCAGCCAAAGAGTAATAGGATTAATCTCAAGAACATAAAATGCAGTATTTTAGCAAAATGTGAATCCTCCCTCTCAAACAATTGTAACAAGTGTGCAGCATTTTCTTGTTTCCATCACATCCACTTAGGCTACTCTTGCAAATATTTTATTTATTCCTGTATTTCTAAAATAAGTGAGTGTATTTATTTCTGCTGGTAGGGTCACCTACAAATAAATTGGCATGGCATACTTTCCAGTGAACTGCTTTAGCAAGCATATCACTGCCTTTAACGTTTTGTCAGGATTCTCGACTTCTATAAGCAAAAACATCAATGGGAAAAAGCCCTACAAAAACTGCAGTAGTGAGGTAGAAAGCTCTGAGATAAAAAAGTTAATTTCCTATTAAATCTACCTGGATGTTTTAATTATTAATTGCCATCTTTAGTTATTTAATTCTTGGGTGCTCTAGGAACGCGATAAATGAGAGTATGAATGATAAATGGGTTTGTGAGAGAAATTAGATGGAACCGATTTCTTGTTTCATTTTCGGTAACATACATCTGGGGAAAGTCCGTGAATTGAAAGAAGACTTTGCCCAACTAAGGGAATGGGAATCAGCTTGGAGAATTTAGAGAAATCCAAAAACTTTGCATAAAAGGATACTTCATAGTTGGTATGACAAAGCTATAAAGACCAATGCCTTGCTTAATAAAAGAATCACATTTTATAGGATATAGCTTTCAGTTGTAATAAATACACTTTTTTTTTTTAAATATAAACCAAAAGTGCTGTTTATCTAATCATTACTGGCGTTAAATGCATTATGATACAGTTAATAGTGTATTTCTTGTAGCGATATATTATCTGAAGTAGTTTGGTTTTGTCATTATTACAAATTTTGTCCTTTTTTAGGAGAAAATTGTTCTCCCGGTCCTCCTTTTTCCTTCTCCTAAAATTGTGAGTTGATAGTAGTATTTAATGATACTGTCAATTACTTCTGTTTCACTTAGAAATATGGCTTGAAATAATTCATTTTAATGTGTACTATGTACCCTCATTTGTGTTTCATTGTATCCAGGTTGTCCCTAAATATCTCTAAGTTTCATTTAAACAAGGAATAATAAACGGACAGGTATGTTCACTTCTACTATTCAACCAGTAAACTTTATTCAAAAGAAACAAATATGTGTGTATGACAGGTTGGACAACAAAAGCATTAAAAGCCCGTAATCCTACCTCAGCTTTTTCTCCTTCATTTAAAGTCAGATTTATTGTGTCTGTCTGCTTTTCGGAGTGGTTTACATTAGTATGGAATGCTGGCTACATTATACAGCCCTCCCTCCAGGATTTGTGTTTATATTGTAGGTATTGCTTCTTTCAGGCTTGTATTTATTGTGTTAGATTATATTTTATGTGTCCATAATACAGGAGAATGTGGACTCTAATGTGACCCTTCTCCTTTTTACATTACAGCACATCAAATACTTTACCGCTGTCTGCACAAAATGCACAAACACCGTAGAATGGCATTTATTTCAGCGTGGTTTTGTGGAACTTGGGGATACTTTCTTTGGAAGAGTGTGGTTGAGGTGCTGTAAGCTGGTATGGGTTAGGATGTCATAAAGCTTTATCACGGAAGGCATGTTAATTCATCCCAGGTGGCATCCTTTGGATTTGTGCTTAACGTACACGTGCGGATCCATTTTGGAGGCTGCAAGGTAGTTTCGGTAGGGAAGGCGCAAAGCCACAACCAGGCCAAGGCAGCGCTTCGAATCAAACCTTTCTTCTGCAAGGAGCTAATTGAAGGGTCCTTCTGCATCGCTGGATACCCTTAGTGAAATACGGTGTGTGTTCAAACTTTTTAACTTGGGACAGAGATTCTCTTGTTATATGTAAGATTTATTGAAAAGTTCTACATCTAAAGTAGAATTGCAGCCAAATTCAGGACGGCAAAATAGAGAAAGCAAAGCTTATAGCTTGCATTTATAGGCAAATTATTCTATTGCTGAGTGTCCATGAACTCCCCTTATCCATGTAGGGGGAAAAAAGTAAATATTGATGTTCAGTTCAGAACAATGTTAGACCTTTTAAATGGTTTCCAGCCATAAATCACATCTGCTGCAATGTTGCAGAGAATGGACTGGAGAAACACTGTCAGTTAAACACAGCTGTTGAAAGAGGTTGCTAAAGCATACAACAGTGTAGCCACTGGGATCAATTTTTATCATGCGTAGTGATTCAAAGGTATTCAATAAGTCATTAACAAGATTAATGAACTCTAATAAAAAATGCAAGCTCCTATTCCATATTTTATTCAGCTCACTGTAGCTTAAAATTGCATTTTATGATTTTATGAGACATATTACTTAATTTTTCTCAAATTGGTGATTTTATTTAAGTTAAAATATATTAAATAGATTTTTTTTCCCCGCAGAGAAATAGGATTTTAAAAAAAAATTGACTTTATATAGTAAAATACCTTTATAACATAAATAGGTATCTAATCGATAGGCTCAAGTCTGCTCTGTTGCAGCAGCATGAGGCTTAGAGTGAGGCTTTGAGACTGGGCCAGTGCATAATTACACTACCTTACAAAAGTGCCTGGAGTATAAGGAGTGTTATATCCCAACCATATATCACCTAGTGAAGATTATTTCTTTTGGTGACTTATATGTTGGCGGAGCCCTGCTAAATCTCTATGTAATCGCTCTCAGCCCTCCTGTTCAAGAGAAAAGTATTGCCTTTGCAGGAGTTGCTTCATTCATTCCCTTACGCAGAGCTTTAGCAAAAGAGACTTGAAGCCATTTACTCTGTGGTGAGAAGGGATCGGATGCGAAAGCTGCTGCAGCCTTTGAGCTACCCGAGTGCAAAATATGAGAGACAGTAGCACGAGCGACAGCAGAATCTGGCTCAGGGGTCTTGTTTTTCTTGTTAATGTCTTAAATTGCAACCCATGAGAAGATATTACTGTAAAAAGATATTCATAGAAACACAGCTAAGTGTGTTCCAGTATGGAGAGAAGCAGCTTTCCACTGAAGGCAAACCAGCTTGATGAGACCTTCGGTACAACCTGTCTAGGTGATGCTGTACGACATATAGAGGTATATTTGTTGCTCTTGGTAACAGTTGTGAGATTTCTGAATTAATGAATGGGAAGTGTCTCAACAGAAGTCAATAACAGAGTAACAGAAGTTATTCTTTGCCAGTGATTAAGAGTGAAAGAGAGTTAATAACCATCTTCCTGCATCTGTATTGTCCCTGGCCTTAATACTTCTCGTCTAATCAATTTTTTAGAGTATTTCATCTGGTCTAAATAATTCAAGCTTTGTGCAGCATCTGAGAAGCTGCCTGTCTTTCATGTCCTACAACGTAGTGCTCTTCCACAGCAAAATTTCTCTTAAGGATTTATTGTAGCCCTACTACTTTCACATACCTTTGTAGTATGCTGTCTCTGAAGACTATCATTCTTTTAAAAAAAACTCAGAAAACCAAAGAAAAACCAGGTACTAGTAAGAAAAATCTAGTGCGTATAGTGGCCATTCTTTCAAAAGGTAGTTTTCAATTAGTCACTGTGCTGGGAGTTTGTGATGCATCCTTTCATGCTCCACTGTGATTCTTCTGAGCAAATTCGCCACAGAGAAAGTGGCCAGTGTCAAAACGCAGCTGGTTACCATCTGTTTCTCCTTTTGTGCAAGTTTTACTTAATTAATAACTACCTTGAGTCTTCTTTTATAAAGCTTTGCTCTGGAGACCAGATCCAAGATAGTGTATTTTTGTGATTTAAAAGTTAATTTAAAGGACATATAGGGTGTTACAGCATGCAGGAACAAAGCTTATTTTTGATTCATATAAGTCTTAGGTCCTGGATTGATTGGTTTAATAACATTTCTTAATGCATCTTATTCCTGTGGGCTCGTGGGATGGAGGGTAGGAAGTTTCAGTCTCTTTATAACTTGTTAGCTTTGATTTCACAAAGGATGTTAGAGTGCTATGCTTTGCAATTATTGTTTTATACACACAGCCGTTATTTGA